CAGAGCAATATCTAAGGACAATCTGAAGGATGTCCTGAGGCAGACATGCTTGGCAGACAAAATAGGGCAAATGGTTGTGGGTGTACAGTACAGGGTTCAAGTCCATAGGCAGAGGGCGGTTGCTGAGTTTTGATTTCCTATTGGTCGATAAGCAATTCTTCACACCCATACCCATTCTTTTTGTTTGTTTGCTTGCTTTTCGAGACAGGGTTTCTCTGTGTAGCTTTGTACCTTTCCGGGAACTCACTCTGTAGCCCAGGCTGGCCTTGAACTCACAGAGATCCGCCTGGCTCTGCCTCTGAAGTGCTGGGATTAAAGGTGTGAGCCACCAACACCCGGCCACACCCATTTTTATTCTATCTAAGATGCACTGGTCTGGTGCTCCATGCTCTTAACCATTGCCCTCTAGGTTACAGGGGTCAGGGGTGGGGAGCAAGGTCACTGAGGTGAGACTGTACTTAGGAGCAAGGGGCTAGAGTCCCTGAAGCAGGGACCAGGGAGGGTGGAGCCTGGCTGAGCTCCAAGCAGCCCCCTCACCTTGGGCAGAGGTGTGCAGGGCTCCTGAGGCCCTGTGTCCTGCGTCCCTTGCCTCTTCCACTTGGTGCTGCTCTTCCTTCCCGGGGTCCTCTGTCCCTGGCTCCCCTGGACCTCTGTCCTCTAGACTGCACCAAGGGCTCAGCTGCCTCATCCAGGCTGAAGACATGGTGTCCCAGCCGCTCAAGAGAGGGGGCTCTTCTTAGCATCCCTCCAGAGAGGAGCTTACGGACCTGGGGACTCCTTCGAGGTCCCTGTTGGCATTTTGCTGCTCACCATACCTCTGTGCACCCCTGGATAGGGAGGAGCAATGAATTGGGTAGGGAGGACACGTCCAACATGGAGAGCCTTAGTGAGCACCCATGGGGCTGGCACTGTCAGTCTGTGGTGGCTAGGACCGGCACTAGCCAGTCTTTGAGCAGCTGTTCCAAGAGGAACACCCCTCAAGTCCAGAGCTGTTCTCTGTGGAGGTGTGTGTGTGTGTGTGTGTGTGTGTGTGTGTGTGTGTGTGTTCTTTCTGTACAATCTGGAGTACAAAGTCTCACTGACATGGCTGAATATGGGGGTGAAAAGCAGGAAAGGGAGAGAATGTAATCTTGGGCTGGGGTCCTGACATTTGTCCAGTGCTGCTCCAAGAAGGCCACGGGCAGGAGGCTGGGGAGGCCTCTTGGGACTGACCCAGGTGACTGGAGGTTGTACCATCAGGTGGCTGTCCAGTCGTGCCAAAGCAACGGCTGGGCAAGTTTCTGGGCCTCCCCTTAGACCTGGCACCAAGCTGTTGATGACCTGGCACCAGGACCTCAGAGTCCCTTGTGCTGGGCCTGGCTTGTGCCTGTGACTGGGGAGCTCCCCCCAACTTCTGCCATGTGGCCCAGACCCACACACCTGGACCATCAGCCCTCCCTCCCCAGTGCCTCCCTGCAAAGTCTTCTGGGCTCCTCCCTCCCCGGTCTCCCACAGGCAGCTGGGAAAATAATCCTCCAAAGAGGCAGCAGAACCTTGTCCCTGTTTTCAGATTGACTTCTGGCCCCAGGCCAGGGTGTAGTGGCCAAAGGTTTCCTGGGACCAGAGCCAGTGGGAGGTGGGTACCAGGCGGAATAGTTCAAAGTTTGCAGGGCAGAGGGAGGGCAAAGGACAGCGGGACCAGGCTCCTGCCCTCCCTGCCCCTACCCCATCCCCTTCTCACTCACCTCTGCAGCAGGGGAGGGCCTGGGAAGCTGGGGTGTCCTGCTGTTTTGTCTCTAGACTGTAGGGTGGGAGGGAAGGGCAGGGTGCAGTCCAGTGTGCCCTGTTGCCTGCTCCCACCTACCAGGCACCCTGTGTCTTGCCTCCTTGTTTTCTGTGGTGGAGAGGACTGAAGCCAGGGCCCTGTGCGTGTTTAACACGTGCTCTTCCACTGCGCTGTGCCCCAGGCCTGTGTTCTGCCAGAGTCAAGAAAGGAAGAGTCAATATCTCAATGGTGTGTGTGTGTGTGTGCATCCACCCCTGTGTAGGTGTGTGTACATGTAGGCATGTATATGTGAGCATGCTCAGGAATACACATATGTGCTATGGGCTTCCTGAGCCCCTTGTGTGCGTGTGGAGAGCCTTCCTAGCATAATGATTTGCCAGCTCATATTCTTTATGTGTGTCAGGGGTTATGTCTCTATCCCATCTGCGTTCAGAGAAAGCTGGAAACATCCAAGTTTGGGGTCTAGTGAAAGGCTGCAGTGTTGATATCAAGATGTCCCTTAGGAACAGGGAGAGAGCAGGGAGGGACTGTGGTCTCAAAGCTCTGCATATGGCTGTGGCTTCAAGCTGGGTCCTCCAAGGGTGGCAGCCACTTGTCTGTGACAGAGGAACCCATGTGACCTCTGGAGAGGCCCCCTCCTGTCCCGTCTCCTTAGCTGTGATTGTCTCCTGGAAAAACCGTCCCTTGACTACCGAGGCACACAAGGCACGGCCCACCCAGGGGCCAGTTGCTGTGAGTGTTGTGAGGTCCCATGGATGGGAGCCTGCCACCCCTACCCGCTCTGGGGCAGGAAGAGGAGTTCATCCTGGAGCAGCGTGCAGGAAGCCCTGTGGTAGAGGGAGGGACCATAGCACAGAGTAAGGGCCGCTCTGGTGCAGTGGCCTGTAGCGGTGAACTCAGGCCACATTGTGCAACTAACTCATCTGGAGTCAGGAATGCTGTTTTGGCAACCCCTGGAAGCTCAGCCACTCTTGGCTGTGTGAGCCAGATGTGAGCAGCTGACCAGCTGATAGACAAGGGGGTGGGGGGTGCAGTTCCTGGAAGGCTTGCATCTCGGTGACCCCCTGGAACCGAGGTGACCCCGTACCGGGGTACTGAGTCTCAGAGTGACCTGGCAGCAACAAGTGCTAACCAGGTCGGCCAGTGGATGCCACCGTGAGCTCAGCACAGGCCCCTTCCTTTCGGATGTCACTGCAGCCCAGCACAGGCAGACCCCTGCAGTAGACGTGGCCTTTGGCTAGGCCTACCTAGCACTGTGATCCTGGCAGTGAGTT